ACTCAGAAGAGACAGGTTCTCTCTCATTCATAGCCTGCTTCTTCAGCATTCATGCAAAAGCTTCAGGCTTATGACTAGTATTGATCCCACCATATTGGCCTTCTCTCTGTGAAGATTTGAGAGGTGCAATAGAGATACTGGTGAACACTCCCCCTCTCACCTGCACATACACACACAAAAGCTCTTGGTTTTTCCTACTTTGAAGATGATAATACCTGTTATGAACCAATGCTTTCCTCTAGTATCATATGTTCATATCCTGAGCTTCAGATACTCCTTGAAAGCCTTGAGTGCAAACCCACCCCCTGCAAATTACTCTTTAATAAAATACAAGAGGAATTTGTTCATACATGAACATTGATCATATTTAATTAAAATTCTCCCCCCCCCCCCCCCCCGCATTTTACTTACATAAGAGAATGTTCAGGAATACCATTTTTCCATCTGTCATCTAACTCTGTTCAATCCATTTTAGCAATCCATTCGTTTCTCATTCAGTTGCAGGGTTAGGGCACCCCAAATCCTTGAGTGAAAGCAAGTGTGTCTGTGTTAACTATATTTCAGAATCGTGTGCCTGGCATTTTTGGTTGCAGGAGATATTTATATTTAAATACTCAGTTTCCCTTTACTGTAAGCTGCCAAGAGGACTTTGATTGTAAGTTGTCATATAAACATAATAAAATAAGTAAACTTTTAAAAATACAACTGATACACATTTCAAGTTACCATAATTGCTTTTGTTACATAATTTATTGCAAGTCCTTTCTGTTTTAATGGGAGGGGAGGGCATTTCCAATCGTGCTCACAGTACACAAGGCAGAAGAATTTTAACTTTCTTCCTGGTGGATCCTGAGAAAAGGTGCCTTGTCCAGGAACTGCCATGAATTGAGGAAGAAAACACTCATTGCATGATGGGCCACTCCACATTTAGCCAGTACAAAAAAACTTAATTATGGAAATTATAAAAAAAACAGGAAATGGTGTTGTTTCACAGACAAAGAGGCATGACTTTCTCAATTACCAAACAGTTTGGTTAACCTTGAGGTTTTTATGATCTTAATTGCAGGAAGGGGTTAAAATGCTTTTATGGATGCATATCTTATCCAAGCTCTACACTAGAAATTCTGAAAGACACATATTATAAATCTAAAAAAAACAAGAAGACATCTAATTACACCTTCCCTTTAATCTGTGTTAGTAGTTATGTGGATATTCTTAGAATGCTGTTCCCATCAACTCCAGCCTACATAAGTCAAGGTCTCTACAACAGATTCTAGAGATCTACAAATCTCTACCAACTCAGCTGTAGGCCAACTATGTCCAGAAGGTGTCAGCCTACCCTTTCTCAAAATTGTGGACAAGAAAATCAAGCACAATGAAGCTCACTGTTTTTTCTTTCCCAAACTGAAATGTTAGAATTGGTTATCCTTAAATTATGTTCATAAATGCTACTTTTGTAAGTACAGTTACAGGTTTAATGGGAATATGTGTGCACTTAAAAAATTCAATTGGGTTAACTATTTTTGGAAAAGTATTCTTTTCCAAGAAAAATGTGGAAAGGACCTACTTTCTTCTCATTTTTTAAAAACTAGATATAAGTGAGTTGTCCTCTATCAGAGATTCTATAACTATCTCTCAAATTCTTTAAAAATCTTTAATTTGAAAAATAGATTGCCAGCCTCCAAACTTTTATTTATTCAAAAACTCTTCCTCTGACTAGATATCCAAAGCAAGCAAGAAAATCGTAATGAGATCAAGATATTAACTCAAATACATTTCCCAGCTTGAATGCATAACACCTTTTTCCGAAATGTTGCATTTTTCCTGCATGTCTAATATTGTTTCCCTGAATTACAAACCTGCCTTTTTAATGGTGCAGGTTTCTCAGCAAGTACTTTGCCCATTTGTTAATTGATTTTGATGGTAGTTGAATTGGCAACAGCATGATAGATCTATGTAGTGCTAGTCTAATTGGATCTGTTTTCTGCTGGTTTTCTTCATCGCAAAAGTTTGACAGTTCCCAATGCCCAACCCTGGAAGGTTTCGATGCAGGGGAATGTATGTTACAACATACAGTAGTGCTTATTCTCAAGCAATGCCAAACCCATAATGCAAAAATATGTGACAGCTGCCCCAGTTATGACTTCTCTTCCTGAGGAGCAGCATTCCTACGCTATGGTCATCGGACTCTAGTTACATCATATCAAGGAGGAAAGTCTTGCGGGGAGGGTAGAGCAAGAGAGTCTGATTCAATCAATCAAAATTGGTTGGCGTGACACAGAAAGGTGAGGCAGGTAAAAAGCTAATCATAGAAGCCCGGTCCCCAAATCCAAATTATCAGCGTTCCACAGGTCCACTGAACTTTTCCTGTTGTATAACATATAATGACAAATACAGCATATTTGATGAATCTCTAGTAATGCACACTATCATCTACAGAACAATATTCCCTACCCCTCGCCATATTTTGTTGTTGGAAAAGACTTAAATCCAGTCTGAGCTGGTGGAGGAAATACGGGAAATGTTGTAAATGAAGGATTGTTTACAGCACAGGGCTTTTAAATGTTGGTTGGGCAAAAATGGAGGTTTCCTGTGATTTAAGGAAATCAATGTTGGCCATAGAGTCACATTTAATACTTTGCATATTCAAATGAATGAAACTCACTCTGGGTGAAAAACAAAGAAAAAGAATGCTTAAAACGGAAAGTCAAAACAAGCAAAGGAAGAGAAAATACCTTCATGTGAAAGAGAAAATACTTGTCTTAAAACATTAAGGTAGATACTTTAAACACAGCTGGCAGTCTAGCAACTTTCTATCTTACCTGTTCTCTCCTTTTTGACCCTTCCACCAATGAATGATTGCCATATATGGTGCGAAGCTCCCACCATTCATATTTATCCATTTTCAAAGCTGTATTTGGAATTTTAAAAAATAAAAATGAGGCACATGTTCTATTAATATACAGAAACGCATCATACCTTGCCAAGATATCCAATGACTGTTTCCAATCAACACAGGTGTAATCATCTAAATATGACTTTAGCCATGGCATAATTGCTTTTGAAAAAGATGTAGTGGAAAAGTAGACTGATCCCTCAAGCCCCCAGTCTGTTTTATGCAGCTCCCCAAATCATGCAATTCAAATTCAGCTGCAAATCGTGTGTTTTCAACAGACATTTTACTGTTGGGAACACAAAATGGAATAAAACACGTGTTCTAAGCCTTTCCAAAGCTTAATAAACCTATTTTCCACAGCCCTTCTCCCAAAGCTGAATTTTATTTTTACCCCGCCTCCATCACCCCAAAAAGTGAATCGGCCTGTATCTACTCAAAATCTGTCCAAAGCATCAACTGAGTCTTCAGGACTGCTTTGATGCATATTGATTACACACAGCATTGAAAAATTCCTTTGACTTAGTAGAGGAACACAAATATTTCTTCATAGGATTGTTCTATTTATGAAATGTAGGCGCTATTTTCTTGAATAACTACTTTCCTGAGGCACCTGAATGGTCTCTGCTGGACAAGCTGATGATGAGTCCTAGATAGGAGGACAAATCATATGGCTACATCTTCTCATTTTTATACAGAACTAATCGCTGTGTTCTGAAAGTCCAGGTCTATCCTTTCAGCACATTTGGAATGGATTTCAATAAGGTAGGATAAGGGAAGCTACCGTATGGCCTTCTAGATGTTTTTTAAACTAATTCCCAGCAGCCTAAAACAGCATGATCAGTGGTGGGGAATTATAGCTCATCAATATCCAGAACCCAGCGTTTCCCTACCAAGCATTATAACAAACTCACAGTGTATCCTTATGAGACCACTAGCTAATATATCATTGCTTGCTTGCTTGGATGCTGGCATTAGCTTAGCTTACTCTACTACTTAATGGTTGTAATTTTAGTAGCTAGGTTCACATACAGGTTTAACCATGACAGTGAGACCTCATAGCTGCACTTGGGTAAATATGCTAAACTTGGTTAATTTTAACTTTGATTGGATTTTATGGCCTGGTTTTGAATACAAAACCATCTATTTTTGTTAACATAGCACATTGTGTCAGTCTAAACCAGGGGTGTCAAAGTCAATTTCATTGAGGGCTGCATCAGCTTTGTGTTTGATCTCGTGTCGCCTGGGTGAGCGTGGCCAGCATGACATCACTTGTGCTGCAGGGCACCTGTGGTGGCCCGAGTGCTCTGCCAGCAAAAATGGGCTCCCAAGCTCCGTTTTTAGCTGCGATGGCCTCCTGCAATCCTCTGCCAGTGAAAACAGAGCTTGGGAGGGGCTGTTCACAGGCCGTTCCTTCGCTATTTCCAGGCAGCCCCCTGGACCAGATCTAAGCACCCCACAGGCCAGATCTGGTCCCCAGGCCTTGAGTTTGACACCCCTGAACTAAACAATTGCTTAACTTGGAAATTAACCTCTTGTATTTTATTGTTGGCTTTGACTCTCTTTATTATTATACTAATTCTGTTTTTCTTATCTGGGTACATTTTGATCTCAAACAGACTTGAAACATTATCCAGTCGAATTATAATACTTAGTAATATAAAAGTGATGTTGCTACAGTATCCACAATAGGAAGTCATCCACAAAACTGTTCTTAAAAACAATGCTCCTAATTATAGAGAACCTGCTGCCTCAAAAAACTTATATTGTAGTAAATTCATGTCAGATATCCTTTAGTTCCTGCTTCATGAAAATATTGGTTCATGCCTATCTGCCAGAGCAACCGAGATCAAATTTACTTTACCATCTACGTATCAGTCTTTCAATCATCACAATAAAAAGTTACAGAAGAAAGCCTGAATAAAATCAAATTCTATACTGGTTTATCATTAAACTGCAACTGCATTCAAGGCATTTCCCTGATCATCTGCTTTAATCATATTCTCTACCTTTCCCATATTTTATAACAAATAGCGGCTTATTAAAACAGAATGTCAGAGGAACTGCATGTTACTGGTACAAACCTGTTCTTAAAATTATTTACCAGCCCTAGACACACCTTGCTACGGAACCACTCATCATTATTCTTCACCTGCCTCTGCCCCTTTACCTCTGAACAAGTACCTGTGCAGAGCAGGTATTGAGGTCCTGGACCTAAATGAAGTATTTTCTCTCACCAATGCTGCTTTATTTCTCGTTGTTCATAAGAACAGCTAGCAGTATAGCAAATATATCATGTACTTCTATTGAACAATTTAGGACCATATATCTCAACTTGGCAACTTTTGTTGAAGTCCACAACCTTCAAATTGCCAAAATTGAGAAACACAGATTTAGGAAAATAAGTATATGTGTGATATACACTTACTTCAACTACAGATGCTGCAATATCCTTTGTCCCACCAATTTCCCACCATTGTCTCTGCAACGATATATCTATAGTCATTTCCTAACAGAGGCTATCATATAAAAGAGACATCCCCTTCCAGGCTTATTAAAAATTCTGTCACATTCATGATGGGTAAGATATACAACTCAGCTAATAAATTCCACATAGAAGTCCTTCCCACAACAGGAACAATGTGACAAAATATGGGCTGCCAAATATAGTCCTCAGAATGTAAAATCATAGCATCATGGAGTCTGGATGCTGAGTGCAAGAATCAGATTAAAAGTCTTCTGGCTGTCCACAGTTTATAAGAATGCATCCATTGTAGCAGAGACCATCCTTCTCCGATAACTAGTTTCATAGTAAAACTACTTTTACTGTTTGGAAGTTTTTCCTAATATTCAAACATTATCTTCCTGTAATTTAAACTTATCATTCCATGTGCTGAATTAGTGGAGAACATTCTTGGCCTTTTTCGGTGAAGATCTTCAAATACTTGCAGTCCTGTTCCTTCAATTTCCTTTCTTAATAATAAATAGAGCTTTCAATCTTTCATTGAAGACTTAATTTCTAGTCCCCTGATCAACTGTTTGCATTTTTCTGAATGTGTTCCAGTGTCTCTGAATTAAAGTGTGATGCCTAGAACTGGAGACCATTATCATGGTGTATGAGCCATAAACCAGAAAATCAACCACACAGGTTTTTAAAGGAAATAAATATTTGGGTCCCTTTTTTTCAGAATTCAGGCTCCAATACATGAGGGAAACAGCATTGACCACTCATGGATATTCTGTTAGGATCTTTCCTACTGAGCCTGTCAGTGGCATACAGTACCACATTGGCTGTAGAATTATTATTTCTCAGATTGGAAGAGATTTCAGTTTGAAAGTGTCTGTTTACTATCCTGAGTCATTTGATTGATTTGTTATAAATAAATAAACTAAAGAAGACTTAAAAATTACACAGAGCCTAAAATTGCATTGACTTTGTTGTGACTATATCATATTAATAACTGATATTGTCATTTCAAGATGTTTTTCACAATTACCATTAACCAAACATGTAATTTCTGCTTCCTAAAGTGAAAAGCTTTGCATCTGTCCTTGTAATTAGGACTTTTCTAGCTATTATCTATCCCATCCATTTCTCAATGACAGGTAGCTTGTTAGGCCATTTGCTCATCCAAGTCATTAATAAAAAAAATTCTCAATGTTGAATGGAGAACTTGACACATCTGAAGAAGTTATCTCCTTCCAGTATATTGGAGAACTTTAAAGGATTATTGATATCAATTCATTTAACTCTTATACTATCTAGGCCTGACTCAAATAGAGTAGTAATCAGAATGTCATGGGATACTTGCTCCCCCCGTGCCCCATTTTGGCCAGCAGGGTGCTGCAGGAAGCATCTGGCCCATCTCACCTCCACCCCCACACCCCGGTTGGCCTATGGAGGAGAACTACAATGCTGATCCAGCCCTCGAAGAAATCCAATTTGACACCCCTGGCCTGGAGACTATGAAGAACGGGTGCAGATTTTGGATCTGACTAGTCTAAAGAAAAGAAGAATTAGTGGGGACATGATAGCACTATTTCAGTATTTGAGGGGCTACCGCAAAGAAGAGGGGGTCAAATTATTCTCCAAAGCACCAGAGGGCAGGACAAGAAATAATGGATGGAGAGGAGCAACCTGAAATTAAGGAGAAGCTTTCTAACAGTAAGGACAATTAATCAATGGAACAGCTTGTCTTCAAAAATCATGGGCACTCCATCATTGGAGGTTTTTAAGAAGAGACTGGATAGCCACTTGTCTGAAATGGTATAGGTTCTTCTGTTTGAACAAGATCTCCAAGGTCCCTTCTAATTCTATTCTATTCATTATCTCAATTCAAAATAAAGGAGTATTTATCAAAGTAACCTGCTCCTATTCTGAGCCTTTATAGTTGTGCAGTGCAATGTATGTTCTGTGGCTGGTGAAGACTTTTTTCTATGTTCTCACTGAATAAATGATTCACTGATTTATTTTGTCATTAACTATTTTCACTATACACTAACACAAGTTATAATCAGGAATTTTCTTTTAAAAAAATATTTTTTGTGTGTGATGTGTGTGGTTTTTTAAAAAAATAACAATTTCTAAGATTTCCCCAGAAAGCCATTGTTACTAATTTCCTTTGGGAGGAACCATAAAGAAACAATCTGGCTGAACAGGCTCCAAGGTTGGTCATCACCTCTTTGAGTTCCTCCCTCTTTTGTACTTTTGTATCTCTTTTTGTCTGCCCTAAATCTCCATGTGTTCAGCCTACCCTGGTATATTTCATCCTAAATTCTAATGACAAACACACACACACACAAATCTTCCTGTATTTCTCCTTTCTTTTACTGGCAGCTTTATTTTTATTTTTACATTTAACAATCCCTAACATAGAATTAGTGGGTGTAGATCGTTTCCAACAAGTACACCGCCATAGCTGTTACTTCTGCTTTTAGACCAGTCATTATCAGTTCGGACCACCAAGTGATGTTACAATTTGAAAAAAATGATTATTTACTACTTCATTTATGCCTTGCTTAGAATAAATGAATTTTTCTCACACAGATATGCATCGCTACCTTTCCCAATCCTTTTTGAAGTACCAGTATTTGAAATCATTTTAATCACTCAAAGTAATGTAGTGTTCCAGAAGAGAACACTACAGCTCAACATTGAATGTGAAGTTCTTCGCTCTCTCTGAGATTTGCTCATAAATGTTTGCTCATAAATGTTTCATTACCCAACTAGATAACATCATCAATCTGATTTTGTGATGTCAACAAACTTAGCCACTTCATTATTCATGTTGCTAGATTACTCCACTGAAGAAAATGAAAAAAAAAAACACCTCCATCTAAAAGTCGAACTTGAAGCTTTTTATTGTACAATTTACATAATTGTAAAATACAATCTATTGTACATTTACATAAAAGACATTGTAATACAAATATATTTTAAGGTAGATAATCAGTTTTCTTTACTCTCTTCTAACAAGAACTTGGAACAAGGGTCAAAAATTAGGGGGTAAATATTGATAAAGAAATTTACTGTTGACATGTAATAAAGTACATTATCAGTTATATAAGATTTCTAAAGGAAGTTCTTTACAAAATAACAAATACGTCTGTAAAATCCATAAAACATTGGGTTTAAGAAGATTTCCATCTCAGGAGGGAGAACACCATATGGATTACATAAGTCAGCGTGACTGCAAATGCAAAAACCTACAAGAGGAGAGAAGAGAAGAGAATTTAGCCTGGGAGCTTGGCCAGCCAGTCTAAGTCATGTGCTCTGGTGGTCGTTTTCTAATTTTCTTCTGGCTTTTCCTAACTGACCTTTTCCCAAAGCAGTAGCCTTGTGGTGCATCGTTTTTTCTTGCCTTTGCTATTAACTTTCAGTCCCAGCACAGAAACATTTTGTTTAGCCTCTTCTCTCTTTTTACTTTAGTACAATCAGATTTGGAATGCATCACAGGCACGTTGTATGCTGATTTTATAAACACACACACATCATCATGGCATAATTATCAGCTGATCCACCACACTCAGATGATATTACTATTGCAAAATATCAACAAGCACTTCTAGCTATGGGGACTTGCTCTTCTAATGTCTGTGTAGGTTGTTCATAGAGCCACTGTATCCATGTTGCTTTGCAGATGTCCTCTAAGATTGCAATATTAAATATTATTAACATTTAAAGATTAAGAGCGCTTCTACTACCAGATTCTCCATCTCCCAATATCTCTGATTCCAGGTTCAAATGTTCCCCCAATTTATCTAGACTATTTGAATAGCTTCCACGATCACGTGCTATGCTCATGGACACATTTGTGAGTCTGGGAGTTCACAGAGGATCAATAGCTAATCAGTGCTCACTTTTCTGGCTTACTTTCTACCCACTTGCTTTTGTAAGAATAAAATTAAAGGAGACCCTCAAGTAAGCTGCCTTGAGATCTTAGAGAAAGTCTAACCTGAAGAGCAGAATTAAGTAGGTGTGACTATTCCATTAAAATTAATCGAACTTTGTTTAATTTTAGCTGGCCATACTTTGGGGATTTTATGAGATTTGTCACAGGGCAAATGTTTATACTAGTGAAATAAATGTGAAACTCAGCTGAGTATCTTATAAGGTATCTTATAATCTAATCTTATTAACACCTTTGGAATCAGTATTAACTGTGGTTCTCACTAGTACGATAAGTAGACGAGGAATTTCAGGTTATACATATAGTGGACTCCCTAGCCATGTTCAACTGAATGCATATGTTAGAGGTGCCCCAATCCCTATGGAACCAGAATTTATTACCAAGGCCAAAGTTGTGGTTCCTAAAAGTATCATAAGTTAATTAGCATCAATAAGGAACAAAAACAAAGGCTGAGCAATAAAGACTTGTCTTCAAACGCACCTAGTCATCACTCTTAATCTCACTGTTAACTCCTCATAAGAATCTGGTTTTTGTTTATTAATGAAAAATGCAAGAAGCCATGACTGTTATTACTGTAATAAGTTATGTCCAGTACTATGTTTTCCTCTATATAACAATCTGTCCTAAGATTTATATACTGCAATTCCTAATATAATCTCTAACTCTTAACTGTTTGTTTTCCACAGTGTCTTGTACTGTACTATTATTGTATTTTTCAGAGAGTGAAGGAAGGGAAAAGTTATCCTTGGCTTTATACAATAATCCATTTATATTCTTATAGTTGACAGATTCACCCATGCATACCTTAAAAGTACCTGATTGTGTTCACATTCCGTTTGAGTCTTTTTAGTTAAAGACATTTTCTAT